GTCTCTGCTTACAACTCACTTTTCAGTGTGGCATAGGCTGTTGGTCTGGATCGAAACTTACCCTCCTTCATCCTGGGCACATGGCTAGACCGTGTTTACCAGTCCCTCTGTCCAACAGAAAGGGACGCGTCGGGGAGCCTTTCCTGTGCCTTTCTCTTGCCACCAGCAGGAACCCACGGAGACCCAGCTTCCGCCATGAGATAACACCCATGGGACGGCAGGGCAACAAGACGGAAAGAACATGGGTCCCTGAATGATCATGTCGAACAGAGCCACTTGCCCACCAGGAGTGCTCATGTCAACCCAGAACATTTACTCCAGACTGTTATAAGAGAGAAAAATTATTTTCCTTCGGCTAGATTGTTGTTTAGTCAGCCTTATGCTCACAAATACACTCAGGAAAGTCTTCCCCGGACCACTTCATACTAAGTTAGGTTTGCTGGTAAGGGCGCCCATAGCATCCTCTACTACGACTAAGCACTTATCACACTTGTACTTTTTTTTTCAGTTATTCGTTTAACGAACATATGTGGAGCACCCAGTACGTCTGCCTGGCACTTTCTAACCACTAGGGATAACGGTGGTGTTCCAGATGGATAAGATTCTTATCACCTGGAGTTTACTTTCTACTGGGGTGACACACACACACCCGCCTCCCAAGAAAACAGCAGCTAGGGATAAGCGCTATAATGAAAACAAAACACAATGATATGACAGAGATGGTGGAAGGAGAGCTACTCTAGATTTGGTGGTCAGGGAAGGCCTAATTGACAAGAAGGAGCCAGTCCAGTGGAAGAGAACGGTTAGTGCCAAGACATATTCTTGGTCTATCTGAAGAAGAGACCAGCATGGATGGAATGGAACAAGGGAAAAAATAGTAGAAGCAGGACCCAAAGAGGCAGACAAGGGCCAGGTCACATGCTGACTTGTGGGCCACTCTGGATTTTATTCTAAGTATAACTATTTGTAGTTATTCATTTAAAAGTTGACTTCTCCAACTGCAAGTTTGGAGGGCAAGTCTCAATAGCAGAGTAGGTGTCTTTTTTTTTTTTTTAATCACCAGCATCTATCACAATGGCTGGCATACAGCATATGTCAAATGTCTGCTAGAATGAATGACTATAAAGAAATAACGTTACTTCTCCACATAGAAACATAAGGGGATCTCAGAAGTCATTCTGAGTAAATCAGAGAGATGCATGATGAGACAAAAATTATAGTCTCTTGTCTGCAGGGGGAAAATATATTTTTGTCTATATACATTATATATATTATAAAATATACATATATGTATTCTAAGTAGAATGATACAGAAGGAAAAAATAAGCCTGAAACCCTAAGGACACCATTTGAATCAAAGCTCCCCACCCCATTTCCTGTAGCACTTCCTTCATATGGAACCATGTGAAACAAGCCAGTTCCCCAACTAATACACAAAAACAGGGTGTGAAGTAAGCGGTGTTAGTGACAAAAGAGTAACTCAACAATTCTATGTAATTTCCAGCCATTTAAAACAATTTTGTAATATTCTGATAAACTGGCTGAGGGGTACTTTCCTTCCGGGCAGAATACTGTTTCCTAAATTTCAACAGCTCTCTTAGATTTATTTATTTAGAATGACGATTTTTTTTTTCTAGTAATAGAACAAAAGAAAGGAGGTGCTTTTTACGTTCGGTTAATAAGGTACTATCTTAGCATGTGCATAGAACAGTCTACAGGTCTACAAAGTTTAGAATAAAGAAAACTGTATCTCGAGGAGTTTCAAACAAACAAATCATAGATCAAGGAAAATGTCAAACAAACAAAGCATAGATCAATATGAAACATAGACACTAAAAGAGCACCCTGTTTAGATCAGCCTGCAAAGGCCGGTGGAAAAAGTAAGATAACAGTCTGGCAGATGGGAGGTGGAAGAAGTTCTTTCAGATGAATGAGATAACAGTATGCCAGGGGTGTGGAAAAATGAAAAAGTGTTTAGAATAAGGAGAAAATGAAAAATGTATTTCATCTGAGAAAATTCTGGCAAAAAAGTACAGGGATCCTTACAGCTAAAACGGACCCTACATTCTCTTCCTAAAACTCCCTAATTCCAACATGAGAAAAAGAAGACCCGAGAAAGCCAAACAAGTTTTACACAGTTAATGAGCAGCAATGCTGGCAGAGAATTCAGGTCTTCTGATTCTTTTTCATTTAGCCCTCTGAGAAAGCACTTACCAGGTGCCCTTAAAGAACCCATGAGAAACACACAGAAGTTTCCCTATCTTCCAAGAACTGAGAAGGTTGCTTAGGGGGGTGATATGACACACACACAAAAAGAGAAAAATAAACACAGGATGTAAATTTCTTTAAGTGCCAAATTATGCTCTACAAAAATACATGAGGCATTTAGGGAGCTGGGAGATGAGGAACAAAATAAACAAAAACAGAAAAGGAACCAAAAAGCAAATTCAGTGATTACTGAAGTGGTGCCTGAAGGAAAAATGATTTTGATGACTTGTGTTCAGAATGGCATGAAATGTAAGGGAAGAAACTGGAGGGGAATTAGTAACTGTAATTTAAAAAAAAAAAACTTTAAAAAATATAGATGCTTTATGCAGTCACGAAAATTCAAATGGATGGGCAGATCAGGAAGTTCGTGTTTGCACAATTCAAATTACAAAAGGACCAGTTACAATATATAACCTAACAACAAGTTGCCCAAGTTCCAAGTGTCAGAAGTTTACAAGGCAGGTTTGGCTCACTGATTTTTACCAACACAACCACTGACCCAGCTGTGCTTGTGAAAACAAAACCACAGAATGAAAGAATTCTATTTTCCTGAGAATTGTGTATTTTGAGGTGATCTTTTTTTTCTTTTAGAAAGGAGTCCTGGTTTGGTTTTAAATCTCGAGTTACCAATCCACTTGCTCTACAATCTCCAAAGTTAGGATAAACTATTCATGAAAATGTCACCAGCAAAAGTCCTACTTACCAACCAGAGCCAGTATATTTACAAGATCTCATTCACCATTTTACTCGTCAGATGCTTTACTGGCTTGGCTGCCTCCAGTTCCAACCACAAGTACTTTACCAAAATATCCTTCAAGCCAGGAACAGTCTCTTAAAGTCAACGATATCCTTCATCATACCATCATACCAGTATCATAACACAGAACCCTAAAATAAGTACATATAAAGATCCCAAATCATCTGCCGAATAACAACTATTAAGTAAAATGATTTGTTAGATTTTCAAATGTGTTACAGAAAGCTTTAGACCTATATATGAAAAAAAGCTGGTAATGATTTGCATTCTCTGTGATGTTTTTTTAAAAAAGACTACAGACCAGGAATCAAAAATAGCTTGACACAAACAAGAGCGAAATTGTAGGTTTTGCTGAGGGCATCAGCCACTTAATTTAACTCTCCTTCATCAGGAGCAGGAAGCCACGCTGCTGTTTTCATCAGAGTTGCTAGGAAACAAATAAGATAAAGGACAGATTGGGCAGAAGAGTCTATAGCTGAAATGAATATTTTGATGCAATTACTTAAAATTCCCAAAGTGTCACTAAGAACAAGCACCTAGGGCTGCCTCAAAATGAATCCGTCTACAATGGTGTCAGTGGTTTAAGCGGAGGAAAGACGTATTAAGAGCCTAGGGTTGTTTTTTCCCCTTCTCTAGCCCCTCCTCCCTTCCCCCACCTAAACAGGAAAGAAAGCGCGCCCAGCATAAACACAGGCCAGTGCTCCGGGATTGTCACCACAACAAACTGGAGGTTAGACCAGCGCTCCCGGCGACCGAGCCCCAGGTTTTCGTTGCTAGGCGCAAAAAGGGCCTCTTTCTCATAAACCTGTGAACAATGTGGGCCTTACCCAAGAGTTCTGCTTGTTTCCTCACCTTTCTTTTTTTTTAATATACCGTTGTTAAACGAAAGCTTTGGAAAAGTGACAACAGGCAGGAAAAGTTTCCCTCCGAGCCAGACCTCTAGATCTGCCTCGCTCGGACGTCCATACAGTCAGTGGGCTGGTCTCACGTCGTCTCCCCCGTCATTACAAATGACAAACCCAACGATTAAAGAACAGCAGCGGAGAGGACAGGCGAGCTTCCACACCCACCCCGGACGCCGCTCCCCGATCCCAGACGGCTCAAATCACCCCCAGCCCCGGGGATCGGCGCGGCTGCGGACACACACGCACAGCCGCACGCTGGGAACCTGCCACGACAGCCGGCAAAAAACCGGCCGGGCGAGGAGAGGCAAGGCGGCCCCTGTCATTTAAGGACAACAACACGCCCAGGGGAGAAGAGGCAGGAGGCAGGGGTAGTTGCCCCCAAAACAAGCCCGGAGCCACCCTGCTTTTCTGGGAACGCAATCCGCCCCGCGGCCGAGAGAGGCGGGGGCTGCAGGAC